AAATGAAAATATATGTTGATAAAAACATTTGTACAGGGGCGCCTGGGTGGCTCAGTTGGTTAAATGGCTGCCTTCAGCTTAGGTCATGATCCCAGGGTCCTGGGATCAAGTCCCGCATCAAGCTCCCTGCTGAGGGAGCCTGCTTCTCCATCTCCTTCTGCCTGCCACTCCCCCTGCTTGTACTCTCTCCTTCTGTCAAAATAAATAAAATCTTAAAAAAAAAAAAAAGATATTTAAAAAAAAAAAATATTCCTACCAGCTTTATCCATAATAGCCAAAACCTGGAAACAACCCAGATGTCCATCAACAGAGCAATGGATGAATAAACTGTAGTGTATTCATTCAGTTTATACAATGAAATACTATTCAGCAATAAAAAGGATGATATACAAATTTATGCTCTACAAATATGACCCACACAGTGCAAAAGACACACTGAAGGATGGTCAGAAGAAGGAAGAAAGTAGTAAGTAGGATCTTACAACAGTCAATGTCATAGAAAGTATTAACATTTAAATAGTAAGTACAAAATGAGTTCACAAAGAGAAGTCAGAGAACAGTAGAAAGCTTCTTATCAGGAATAAAGAGTTTCAAGGAGAAAGTAAGTTCCCAGTGTCAATATAACAGAAATCCAGCAAGATGAACAAAGAAAAATACCTATCAGATTAAGCAATGAGCAACTCTGATGATGTAAAAGTGGTGTGGTAAGACCATACACCAGAAAAAGGATACTGATAAATTCAAAGGAAACAAACAAGTGAGGATCAAAGAAATAAAGGTAGGCCAAGAAGGAAAAAGCTAGAGAGCAACATAATATAAAAGGCTACAGTATTTCTTTAACATGAAAAGCAAAAGTAAATGACTACACCTAAAAATCCCCATCTATTATCTCATCCAGAACATGTACTATTGAGTAAGGCAGTCGTGGGCGTGACTGTCCCTGCATATTCCCGCTGAGTGTGAAAGTCTGCAAAACTTACCTACTTCCTGATACTGAGTAGATTCTTGTAATAAGTCACCTAGGCAATAAAGAAGGTCAAGGTTACCACAGCACATAACTATACTCCAAGGGAGAGGTGAACTACCTTGTTTGTTGCCTGCTACAATGTTTGCTGCTTGCTAAAAAAGTACTGGAGCCTTGGTCCTCAGTTCCTCCATTGTGACCCACTACATGCATCCATCTAGACTCATCACCTTCATGGGAACTGGGTACTAACGAAAACCTACACAAACATGCTGATGTTCATGCCACTTGCTGTGTTATGAGTAATAACGCTAGTGTTTCTGATCTGGCCATCTCCTGTTTTTTACTAGCAACAATTAAAAATTAATAAAACTAACTTATTAGCCTATAAACATGGTAAAATCAAATCTTAAGACTTTTCACAGTACTTGACATGAGCAACAAAGAACTAGTTGATATTCATGTTGCTATATAAAAAAGAGACACAAAAGTGGTCACAAACAAAAACTGAAATATATATAATACTTTATAGTTTGTATACCTTAAGTTATTCATAATATTATTTATCATGTAACGGCCTCGGTATTTTATCTTTTACATATGTTACAACATATAATTCTCATAATAATCCTTATGAGATAGGTACTAATATGATGAAACTGAGGCTTCAAATGTTAAGTAAATAAGCTAAGGGCCCACAAACTGTAAACAGCACAACCTAAATACAAGCCCAGATGCCTTTAAAATGTGTTTTTTTTTAAACCATCAATAATCAATCTCCTTCCCAGCTGATTTACCAAGGACAACTCTAATTCTCCAGATATAAGACCAAAGTACCTAGACCTTTACAGTATGAATACTTCATTATGTTCACAGAAAAATTAACATTTTGGAAATGTTAATCTTAAAATTTTCTTCAAAATTCTGCGATCAAAATTTAGGAAGAGCTAGGTCAAACAAATCCAAACCATTGTCTCTACTGTAGAATTTCTCATGGTTTTAATATGCAAATATATGTTTTAACATGCTAATATAAGCCATAAATCTTCTAAGATAATCTATTATCAGCATTCTGGAAAAGAGTTTGGGAAACTACTGCTACAATCAACAATGCCAACTTTACTGGTATACAGAATTATCTTTGAAACCATAATAGTCAGCTTGGTTCAGGTACATAATCCTTTACAAGAGAGAACATCAAAGTTAGAATGTGGCCTAACAGCTTCAAGCCAAATCAACTACTACATAGTTTGGCAACATTGCTCATTTTTTACCAAGCAAGACTTAATTCCCCATAACACAAGGAAATTATATAGCATACCTAGCTTTTTCTGAAATTAGAAGGGTAATAATTAAGGCTTTTGGTAGCTCTACATTGTTTTACCTAACAAAATTCAGACCCCCTATAACAAGGGAAGGGAAGAAAAGACCACAGAAAAACCAGTTTCCACATAAAACCTGGCATTGGTTAATGGTAGTGAGTCATCCTGGTGGGCCTGCGCATCACTGCCAGCTTTCCAATATGGAAAAGCTAAACTGTAACTCTATCACCAAGTGATAAATTATCATCACATACTATTTCACCCCTAAGTATATCTGCCCGTCTCCTACTTAGTCATCTCTTAACATTCAACAACTGAAATTGTTTACTGCTCAGTGATCTACTAATCATTCCAGAGTTTTCAAAAACTCTGAGCTAGAGACAGCCACGCAGCAGTTGTGTTCATCGTATAAACAAACCAGAGCTGCAGATTTGTCCCGGGCCAAATAGTCTAGGAGACACCAATTCAGCTGCTTCTTTGGAATAACTAGATAGAGTTATTTACCAGGCCACTCTCAACAAAACCAAGAGTTATACTAGACAAAGGAAATAATTATGTAATTACAAAGCAACAAGGAATTAACATCCAAATTTAAACTACACTAAGACTCTCAAACACTTGCCCTACAAAGAAAACCCATTAATATCATACCTACTTTCAGTGAACAGTAACTTTATTTTTTTTATATAGAAAGCAGGAATTAATGGATTTTATTTTTTTAATTTTTATTTTTTGTTGTTATGTTAGTCACCATACAGTACATCATTAGTTTTTGATGTAGTGTTCCATGATTCATTGTTTGTGTATAACACCCAGTGCTCCATGCAGAACGTGCCCTCCTTAATACCCATCACCAGGCTAACCCATCCCCCCACCCAAGAGTAACTTTAAAAGAACAAATTTTTGCCCTCTGCTCTGAAGGAATGCTTCCACCCAATCAAAGTCTATTTCAAAGTCTACGTAGGACATATCTCCAGTTGAGGGGGAAAAAATGAAATAAAATATGATATGTCCACTTATTGTGAAGAAAGTTGTAGAGAAAAGGAAAAAAATCTTAAAACTAGGAGAGTAAATTTCAAAATATTGGTGTTAGGAATTTTTTTTTTAGTAATAATTAAGTCAAGTCTTAACTAGTCATAACTACTGAAAGTGAATGTGACAATATAACAAATTATTTTAACGCACAGCTATATCAATTAAAAATGTTTTGAGTAGTGACTTGTGTATGAGAACATGGTTGATTCTGATAAGCAAAATCCCCACAGACAAAGAATTCAAATCAGTTAATGCCATTAAGGAAACAAATAGGATCAAGAAAAGAAAAGAGATTAGAAAAAAACCACGGGAAATAGTACTCAATATTAACCTACTGAATTTTATTTTAGCTAACATCTGCAAAAATAATAAAAAATAAACTACCAAAAGTGTATACACTGACAACTTGAAAAATGCCTTCCATACTGACAGTATTTTCCAAACCATTCTGAAATACGGACAAATTTTCACAAAATTCAACATAGATCATTTGACGATTTACAGGATGTAAAGCAGATGAAATGAAAGCATCATGAGCTTTTACCTTAGAAAAATGCAAAATTGCATACATTGGGATTTCATCTTTCAGTAGCCTTCATATTTGTCAAAATGCAATTATTAAAAGAAATTCTTAGTTCATAATTAAGGCTCACATGTGCAAATACATATTTGTTCTATTATACCTACATTTGTAAAATTTCACAAACAGTACTATTAATTGCACCATCAATGCTACATATTAACGTTTTCCTCCTCTTCCTTAGTAAAAAGGTTTAACTTAATTACCATCTGAAAGTTTATATTGTAACTCGCTACCTAGTTACAACAGAAGAGTCAACTATTGCCGAGACCCTTTTTTAAAGAGTGTTTACAATAGAAGGCCCCAATGCCAGGACCATAATTAATACTAGAGGAAAAACTACGTTGGAAAAATTGACACTGAAAAATAGAGAGGGACACTTTTCAGTCATTTTAACATACAAAGGCTTATGTGGTTGAACTGGAAAACCCTGTATTTAATGAAAAATAATTCTTCAAACAAGATTTGCGTTTTTTTCTAGTAAAACTTCTATATCCTCTCCTACCCCTCCCCCCAAAAAAGTCGGAATTGGAAAAAATAGTCACTTTTAATACTAACAATGGAAAAGGACAAAATGACAAGGTTAACTAGAGCTGAGACACAAGATCAGCACCGCTATTCTCTATAGTTACACAATTTTTCAACCCACATTTTTCACCGAATCCACATCCCACCCTACATCGTGCTTACATCTCCTCCCCCCACCAACCCGCTCCATTTATGACGGCGATCATCTTCCTAGCAGGTATGTGAACTCAACACCATTTCCAGCAGACAATCCACTGGAAAGATCTCAGAAGTGACTGGGTCAGGAAATTAGGAAATGATCGAGAAAGTGAGAAGTAAAACAAATACAAGTTTTAGGAAAGGGAGGACGGAGGGCGTCCTACAGCGGGGTATAGGGTGCGGGTGAGGGGCGGGGAGGTAGGAGGAGCCCTGGGTCGAGAGCAAACGGTCTCGAATCAGTGGCAAGCTCCACAAGGAGAGGTGTAAAGGAAAAAAATAAATTACGCAGTTTTTAGCCCGAAGAAGGGGACTCCCTGGTCAACGGCGGGAGGCGGGCCGCTCAGGAGGCCGGGGCGGGGGCGCAGGAACTCACCACCTGGTAGCGGCCAGTCCCCGGCTGGTGGTGATCCATCCTGCCCGGCTCGGTATCCGGCTTCCGAGCGGGCGAGTCGTCTCGGTTCTCGACCCCCTCGTCCACCCCCGTCGCCGACGTCGTCGCCGCAGCGCCCCTTCCGCCTCTGTTTCTGCCGCCGCGGTCGCCCGGCCGGGCCGCTTCACTTCCTGTCGCTCCCGCAGCAGCCGCGGAATCCTCCGCGTCGGCCACCGCGCAGTGAAGCCCCAGAACGACGCGCGCGCTACTGAGCATGCTTGGAATAGTTGCGCATGCTCGTTGGGTCCTCAGGCGTCCCGTTCGCGTCGCAAGCAGGGGAGGTCGGGCTGGGTGGGAGGAGCTGGAAAAGTAAGACAAGTCCGGGGAACTGTCTAGGTTGTTGGGAGTGGGCGGTGGCAAAGGGAACGGAAAAAAAATATCACCGTCCTTGATAGGTCTTTTCTATTGGACGGGTTTCGCGCAAGCACAGGCGGGTACACAGTCACACCACGCAGAAACCAGAGTGGAGGGGAAAGAGAACGCATACCTAGAACACCTGAGGTCGGGTCACCACCCATTTACCCAACACGTCCTCTTATTACTCACCCAGCATAGGACAATGCAGGGAGATCCGTCTCTAGGACGTTCCTGTAACGCGCATTCAAAATCATTAGTGAGGTAAGGGATATCTTTTTAAATATTGTTTTGACCCCCTCTTGGTAGTATGAGATTTAAGAATCTAACAGGGACTCTTCAACCATACTCTTAATATCTCGCCAAGGAAGGAGGCCTCTGGAGAGCCCTACGTTACTGGAAGGATACAAGAATATAATGAAATAAGATAGGACTGTTTTGTCATCCTACTCAAATAATTCCGAAGGATTTAACAATAAATTTGTGTACTATATAAGTGTCTGGGTAACTACACGTTACCTACTATGTGTGAGTATCTCCCAAAGGCCACAAAGCATGTTTTTCTAGGGAGTAGAAGAGTATGATGGGACAAAATAAAGTACCTTTTAACCCAAAGACCTGCTTTCTATGCGCTGAAAACTATGATCCCACATAATCTGGCCCAGCTATCTCTTTTACTTTACTTCCTTCCTGAATCTCCAAAGGACATTCCTGGAATGAAAAAGGCCACTGAATGAGCCTGATCAGCTAGTTAAAATAGCAAAAATACAATAAAGACAGAAACTCATTGAGAGATCATCACCAAAAAAATTTAAACCTTCTTGACAATTTTATTCAAAGCATTGACTAGTTCTTCCTAGTTTTACCATCCTGACACATCTAGTGGTAGAGAGCATGAATAGGCTAACAATAAAAAGAGAATAATATCATACTTAAATGTCTTTAAACTTGTTTTCTTTTGATCTAGGTTCATATATTTTAGATTCGAAGACGATGAAATAGAACATTTTCTTGTATTATTGTACAAGAGGTCACCCTCACAATTTCACCCCAAATGGTATCATCTTTCATGGTCAAAACAACAGTATCAGCAAAATGAAATTAGATTCCTACATCACGTATGACCTATACTGCTCCTTTAGAACTTAATTTTATATGTGCTTGTGTTTTCGTTAACCATTTATATGTCCATTTGTTGTTTCTCAAATACACTACTGCTCAGGGCAGAGGCCATTTTTTACACTTAACACACCCAGATCAGTACTGAGAACATAATGGTAAAAGCTTAAAGACCTGACCAAAAGTAGACATCCTGAATCCTGTTAGGGTGACGGATTCTTTCAATTTTACCCTCCTCCCAAGTTCTGTGAACATTTTGCTAATCTAGAGAGCAAATGACAAAATTCAATGGGAGAGCACTTTTTCAGTGAAGAAGAGGAAGAGAAAGAGGGGAAGGAAGTAAAATAATAACTAATGGATATTGAATCCTCCCCAAGCTGGGGGCTGCATATGTTACATCATTTTATCCTCACAATATCTCCTTGCTGTAGGCATGACTATAATCCCTGTTTAACAAATCAGTAAGTAAAGCATCAAGAGGTTCAGGAACTTGTCCAAAGCCAAATCACTAGCAAATGGTCACAGACTCCAGAGTCTCCTCTATATTAAGCACTATGCTATAATATACCCTAAAAAAAAAAAAATGCATCACAAAGAGCCAATCTGACTTCGTTAAGTCTACCTTCTTGATCTATATGAAATAAATGATTTTTTCTCATTATCCCCAAAAGAGCCACACTGAGCTCCTTTTGCCCATTTTACAACTAAGCCAGTGTGACCTGTAGTAGCCCATCACAAGGGAGGCCCTGAGTTGTCCCACTAAGAGCAATGTATTTTGGGTGAAATGGGAATAACAATATTCTTATCCTTTTAGAGGCCTTAAGCAACATCCAATATATTCAACCCCTAAACTTACTGGAAGTGGTGACAACTCTAGTTACCTAAGAAGTTGGTGGTAGTGTACCTCTAGAAACTAGTTCAAGTGCAATTTTAGAATTTTAATGCATTTCACTAACACCTCTTGTTCTGGCCTAGTCAATTTTCATCTCCAAATATACAGCCACCCATAATTTCACGAGTGCCACGTTGCAGTACTGGGGCAGACATGGAGATAAACTGCCAGGATTCCCCATCCAGAAAACACTCTGACCAGGTGCAAGGAGTGTGATTAACCAACAACCTCCAGCTGTTAGCTGTGTCGGGGTTTCCTTGAGTTTTCAACCTGAGGTCGTGTTATTTTCAGCGTGGCATCTGGTCATTGACTGGTGGTGGTACAGGTTAAGCCACTTTTGCCTGACACTGACCCTTTTAAGGGGCAATCTTTGCTTCATAACTCCCTGCTAAACTCGTTAGCTCTGCAGTATGTTGTAATGAGTCTCCCTGCCCGATCTTTTTTCCTTTCACAGATGTTAACTCCCTAATAAATCTCTTGCACTCATAAATTCATAGCAGCATCTGCTTCCTGGAGAACCCAAACTAGACAAGTGCCAAAATGTAAAGTGATAAAACATTGTTCATATCAAAATTGTGTGAAATGACTACAAAGGTCCTTTCACATAATTGATGTTTCACCTCCAGAATCACCCCCAGTACCCTCCATTGTTCCCATTTTCTCATGTGGACATAATGTCTTCCCACTCAGAATGACTTGGATGTTCTGTAGAGTGATGCTATCGAGTCCCCTTTTCCTGGGACATACTTCCCACTGGAATCCCTCCTACCTTCCCAAAAGCAGAGTCATTCCCGCCAGAGGTAAACTGCTTTCTTATCATCCTCCATTGTCTCCTCTCAGCTCAAATCGGGTATGCTAAGCTCCATATATATGTGCCAAGATTGTTTGTTGATATTCCCACCAATTAAAGAGCAGTGGACAGACATGCCATTGCCTGCAGATGGCTTTCTACACAGGCCTAAATCACAGGTAGGCAAATGCTCCAAATTTTCCTTAATTTTTCAGTGATTTTTTAGTGCTTTATCACTTCCCCTACAACATAGAACATACAACATAGAACATGCAACATAGAACTACTCCTCAAGTAGCTGCTGATGGTTAGTGTGACCATAGATCCTAATAGTTAATTGTATTTGGAATATGTATGACTTTGCATATTTATCTAGAGAATGATTTAAAAGAGGTAAAATTGCATTCTCTGAAGATTTCCGTCTCTACCTAATAAAAATTCACTAGCCATTATTTTCTGTACACTAAATTCTAAACTAGGTTTTAGAAAATACAAGAAATTATTGTCACTTTGGTAAATGAAAATAAGCATAATTATTACTCCAACGTTTTATCTCTGTTACCATGTATATGGATCTTTTAAGCAGTTTGGAGGCTGGGACCTCAATTTAGCTTCACATAGTGTTCCTTATTTAACTGTTTCTGAAATTCCTGTCATCTGTTCAGCTCTGTAATTTTAGAAAGAAAATCTAAGTGAGCAATTTGACAATCAGGTATCTACTTCCTTTCTTCTCTTTATTCTCATACACTATGTTGGAAGAACCTAAAATACAGCTAATGTTTTTTATCAGTCAGGGTTCAACCTAAGAAAAGGAACCAGTAGAAGATATATATTAAGAGATTTGTTGCAAGGAATTGACCTACACTGTTGTGAGGACTGGTTAAGCCTTCAAAATCCATAGTACAGGCCACTGGAACTCTAGAAGAGTTCTAGAAGCTGCTGTCTTCTTCTTCAGGAAGGCCCAGTTCTGTTCTTGACTCTTCAACAGATTAAATCAAGTCCACCCAGATTATACAAGATAATCTCCTTTACTTAAAGTCAACTGATTTGGACTTTGACCATAATATCTACAAGATACCTTCACAGCAACGCCTAGATTAGTATTTGAGTGAGTAATTGGAGCTATAGCTTAACCAAGTTAACACAGAAAACTGAATATCACATGTTTATTTAAGTACTATAAATTGGGGGCACCTGGGTGGCTCAGTCGTTAAGTGTCTGCCTTAGGCTCAGGTCATGGTCCTAGGATCCTGGGATCGAGCCTGGCATCAGGCTCCCTGCTCTGCAGGAAGCCTTCTTCTCCCTCTCCCACTCCCTCTGCTTGTGTTCCCTCTCTTGCTGTGTCTCTCTCTGTCAAATAAATAAAATCTTTAAATAAATAAATAAATAAATACTACAAACTGAAGGGAAATCGGACAGGGAGACGAACCAAGAGAGACTATGGACTCTGAGAAACAAACTGAGGGTCCTGGGGCGGGGGTTAGCCTGGTGATGGGTATTGAGGAGGGCACGTATTGAATGGAGCACTGGGTGTTATACGCAAACGATGAATCATGGAACACTACATCAAAAACTAATGATGTAATGTACGGGGATTAACATAATAAAATAAAATTTAAAAAAATAAATACTATAAGCTGAAATTATCTCTATACAATAAAGGATAGAGAGAGAGAGAGAGAGACCAAAGAGAGAAAAGTTCCAGAGAGTTAGCTTAGAGATTAAAATAAATTTCCATATTAAATATTTCCTATCAGCCTTATTTTATATATGTACTATTATATTTGGAGGAGTTTCTCAGAGTCCATAGTCTTTCATGGTTCATCTCCCTGTCCGATTTCCCTTCAGCTTGTAGCAATTAGAAAATATCTGAATTCTGATAAGCTGTCCTAACACTATTTTTATTTAGCACTTTCATTTTTTGTTTAGTCATGAGCAACAAATATGAGCAAATCAACAGCCATTTTGCCTTAGGGATTACTTATTTCAAATTGGGCTAAGTCATAAGTTATTAAAATGTTCTTTGCTTTACCTTGAGTACAGAAGGCTGTTCTTTGACCATATTAAAGCAGGACTTTATGTGGGGTTTTTTTGTCTCCTGTTTTCTCTGCAAGCCTGATCATCGCTTTCATCATAGAAGAGCAAGGCAGGCCCTGAGTATATTGCCTATTATGACAGGTTTCTCTTGACTAACTAATGCAAGATCATTGTGTAAGAAGACAAATACTATTTGTGTGTGCATGTGGGTGTGGGTGTGTGTATAAAATACTAGGAGAGAAAAATGTCTTCTATATATCCAGGTATTCTTAACAGGTTAAACATTGCCTGCTCTCTTTCTTCCATAACAGGAACTAGGCCTCATTTGTTAAATCGTATGAATGCTCCTTCACAATTAACAACATAGTACAACATTAGCAGTAAGGTTTCCATATGATAAAGTTGCCTGGTTTCAGTAGTGAGGATAAAGGGCATTCAAGATCTGAAGGGAGAAAATGGTGATAGGATTCAGACGGAGTGACTCACAAGATGCTGCCTTTCCAGAACAAGAAAAAATTCATACCCATTTCCTGACCTTAAGGGGAAAATAGGGGGAAAAAAAAAAAACTGAATGGCCTGACAGAGCCAAAGTAAGCCAAGATAATGAAAAAGGGGAGTTCCTTTTGTATCTGCTAGATATTATAGAAAAAATAAACTATACTATCCTACTTTACCTGTCAATAATGTGTAAAGTTCCCACGAAATGTCTGTAAGTTCTGCTTATGAAGAATGATCCCTGAGAAATCTGGCATGATTTCCACAATAAAGGTAAAGACATCAAGCTCAAATCTTCTTTATCCAGTATTTTAGTCAGTTTGGACTGCTATAACAAAATACCATAGATTGAGTGGCTTATAAACAGAAATTTATTTCTCGGGGTGCCTGGGTGGCTCAGTTGGTTAGGCGTCTGCCTTCAGCTTGGGTCATGATCTCAGAGTCCTGGGATCGAGCCCCACATTGGGCTCTCTGCTCAGCGGGGAGTCTGCTTCTCCCTCTGCCTTTCCCCTTGGCTTGTGCTCTCTCACACGCGCACTCTCTCTCTCTCAAATAAAATAAAATCTTAAAAAAAAGAAAGAAAAATTTATTTCTCACAGCTCTCAAGCCTAGAAGGCCAAAATCAGGATACTGGCATGGTTGGGTTCTAGTGAGGGCCCCCTTTCAGGTTTCAGACTGCCAGCTTCTCACTGGATGCCAGCTTCTCACGTGGCAGAAGGGGCCCTGAGGGCTCTATCCAGGGACTCTTTTATAATGCATTAATCCCATGCCTCTGGACCTAATCACCTCCCTAATCCACCACCTAACACCATCAGATTGGGCATTAGATTTTCAGTATTTGAGTTTGTGGGGAAGGGGAACACAAACATTCAGATCATAGCATTCAGGTACTGACATTTAAAAACAAAAGCATAAAGTTATAAAAACACATGTGGACATATAAATATAGCACATAAAGTAGAAAATAAAATTGAATATTTTTGGTTTGAAGGAACAGATGATTTGGCTCACTCACAGGCAGGCCACTGCAATTTCCTTAGAACCCAAATGTCTGGAAAAGAGAAAAATGTGTGTTTTCAGGGATTCATAAAACTTTAGCATTTCAGGGGAACTTCTTAGTCACCTTTCCCCAAACCTTCATTTTGGATATATGGAAACTGAGGCTCAGAGAGGTAAATGCAGCCTTGAAGTGAATATCTGTGAAACTACCACCCCACTTCCAGCTTGGTTCAAATGTGGTAATTCATAAAACAATAAAAAATACTCCATTGACTGTTCCTACCACATCCAACAAGAAACAGCCCTCTGAAGCAGTACTAGTAAAAATAAATATAGAACTTCAACACATCATGAACTCAACATGTCAACATTTCTTTTGGAAGAAATACTATATTCAAACGCATTGCCACCAAACAGAATAAATTCTAAGATCGTTGCTAATTCTCTCAGGGGTTGCTGCTTCGGAAAAAGTAAAACAACTACTTTTGTTTGTTTTTTAAAATTTTTTATCTTATAAACATATATTAAATATTGTTTTCTCTCTTGTGTTTTCTTCCTTCTTATTTTTTTTTTCAAACCCTCGTGTTGAGGGCTGACTTTCAATAGATTGCAACGAGGGAGCTGCTTTGCTAAGTATGAAACCCCGACCCTGAAGCAGGTCGTCTAAAAATTGGTTTAGCACTAGGTTCCCTATGAATGTCTACTTTCTAAAATGCAATAAATGAGCCTTACCAAAAGATAATCCTTGAAAATACAATAGATACCTGACATTAGTTATATACATGCAAGCTTAAAAACCAAACAATCCCAACCCCATACATGCATGTCTATTCAGATAAGATTGGGATATAATATGACCTAACCACGAAAAGTGAACAGAATGCCGGCTCTCAGCACAACCCTTTGACCATGATTCCTGGAAACAAGACAGTTGCACATACATACAATAGTTACATATAACCATTTACATTTACATTAATATTAAAAATTTGGTTCCTCGGTGACACTAGCCAAAAGTGTGTAGGGGCTATTGTGTTGGACAGAGCAAATAAAGAACATTTGCATCATCACAGAACGTTCCATTGGCCATCATTGCTCAAGCAAAGATTCTCTTACTATTCACCTTAAATTATCCTCCTTCTTTGACTTCCTGGATTATCCACATAATTTTGTACCAGCTTTGGTCCCAACTCTGCATATCTTAGCAATGTGGCTCCTGAGCAAGTCATTTAACCTGCTGAGCTGGTTTGCTCATCTTAAAATATCAGAATACTAATTCCTTCCCTATCTGTCTCAGTGGTTGTTGTGAAGTTCAAATGAAATGTAACCATACAAATATAAAGTAAAATTAATCCTGGAGGTTCTTTTCCATTCTAGTCACTGCAGAAAAAAAGTGATGTTTAACACCTTGTATAGTTAAAATGTGGCATAAATATAATTTAGAGATGACGGAGATTAGCTCAAAGAACCCAGAAGCTGGTTAGGCCTCCTAACTTGGCCACATCATATTTTTCCTAGGCTAAGTGTCTGGGATTATATTCTGCATGAGTCATTGTAAAATAAATAAAAGACTCCAATGTGTGTAACCATAGAAAATACGTCAGTTGTTTATCTAGAAGTAAAACTATTCCATAGTATATTTGTCAATCATTATAATTATGGTAATGATAGCTAACATTTATTAAATGCTGCCAGCCATTTTGCTAAGTGCATCCTATATATTATCTCCCTATATTTCACAACATATGGAATAAGTACTATTGTTACTGCCATTTTATATATCAGAAAACTGATACCTAGAGTCTTAAGAAATTTACCAAAGGTCACAAACAATTGAGGAAAAAAGGGATCTTCTGGGGTTTTTTTTTCCACTTTAACAACTTTTTATTGAAATAACATACTTTAGTAAGTATGCAATTCATAAGTGTACAGCTCAAAGATTTTTCATAAACCGAACAAATCCATGCCACCAGCACCCATATTAAGAAACAGAATATTGGGCGCCTGGGTGGCTCAGTTGGTTAAGCGACTGCCTTCGGCTCAGGTCACGATCCCGGAGTCCCGGGATCGAGTCCCACATCGGGCTCCCTGCTCAGCAGGGAATCTGCTTCTCCCTCTGACCCTCTTCCCTCTCGTGCTCTCTCTCTCTCATTCTCTCTCTCTCAAATAAATAAATAAAATCTTTAAAAAAAAAAAAGAAACAATATTTCCGGGACACCTGGGTGGCTCAGTCAGTTAAGCATCTGCCTTCAGCTCGGGTCATGATCCCAGGGTGCTGGGATTGAGCCCCGCATCAGGCTCCCTGCTCAGCGGGGAGCCTGCTTCTCCCTCTGCCTGCTGCTCCCCCTGCTTGTGCCCCCTCTGTCTTTCTGACACATGAATTAAATAAAAACCTTTAAAATTAAAAATTAAAAAAAAGAAATAGAATATTTCCAGAACCTCAGAAAAACCCTTGGCCCAATTCCTGTCTCTTCTCCCATACAAAGAGCAACTACAATCCTGACTTTAAACACCATAAATTAGTTTTAGCTAATTTATACTTTTGACTTTATATACATGGAATCATACTATACATACTCTTTAGAGTCTGATTTTTTTGCTTAACTTTATACTTGTAAGACTTATTCATATAGCTGCGTGTAGTTGTAGCTAATTCATTTTTGTTGCTGTATAGTACTCCAATGCAGGAATATATACCCTACTTTACTTACCTGTTTTACTGAATAAATACAGCTGATTGACATTTGGATTGTTTCTAATTTGGGGCTTGTATGAGTTTCCTAGAGCTGCAACACAAAGTATCACAAACTGAGTGGCTTGAGCAACAGAAATTTATTATCTCATGTTCTGGAGGCTAGACGTCTGAGACCAAGAGTCAGCAGGGTCGGTTCCTTTGGAGGGATGTGAGGAAGAACCTGTTCATGCCTCTCCCTTAGCTCCTGGTGGTTGTCTGGCAGTCTTCGGGATTCCTTGCCTTGTAGAAGCATTACCCGCCTCTCAGCCTTCATCGTTACGTAGCATCTCCTCCTGTGTGTGTGTCCAAAATTTCCCCTTCAAAAGGTCATTGGTCAGATTAGGGCTACACCCTAATATGACCTCACTTTAATAACATCTGCAATGACCCTATTTCCAAATAAGGCCACAGTCTGAGATACTAGGGGTTAGGACCTTAACATATAAATTGGGAGGAGGGGAGGCATAATTTAACCCACAACAAGGCTATTAGGACCACTCTTAAGAATATTCTTATACGTGTTTGGTTGAATATATGTACTTACTTCTGATGAGTATATTCTTTTATTTTATTTTTTTTAAAGATTTTTATTTATTTTTTAGAGAGAGAGAGAATGGTAGAGAGAGAGCATGAGAGGGAAGAAGGTCAGGGGGAGAGGCAGACTCCCCGCCGAGCAGGGAGCCCGATGCGGGACTCGATCCCGGGACTCCAGGATCATGACCTGAGCCGAAGGCAGTAGCCTAACCAACTGAGCCACCCAGGCACCCCGATGAGTATATTCTTATAAGTGGATATGGTAGATTTTAGAGTGAATATATATATATATATATTCAGCTTGAGCAGGTAACTGCCAGTTTTCCAAAACAGTTATACCAATTTTCCCTCCTCTCATCCTTATCAGCGTATGAGAATTCCAGTTGAGCCACAGCCTCACAAACATTTTGTATTGTGTCTTTTTTATTTAAGCCATTATGATGGGAATGTAGTTGTATCTCATTGTGATTTCTTTTTTATAGATTTTTTTTAAGATTTTATTTATTTGACAGAGAGAGACACAGTGAGAGAGGGAACACAAGCAGGGGGAGTGGGAGAGGGAGAAGCAGGCTTCCGGCTGAGCAGGGAGCCCAATGCGGGGCTCGATCCCAGGACCCTGGGATCATGACCTGAGCCGAAGGCAGACGCTTAACGACTGAGCCACCCAGGTGCCCCATCATTGTGATTTCAATTTGGATTTCTCTGATGATTAATAAAGTTGAACTTCTTTTTATATCTTTATTGACCATCTGGAGATCATTTCACTAATCACTTGCTTATTTTTCAATTGAATTACCTGCATTTGTCTTGGCTTTGCAATAACTCATTATTTTTCCAGAAATAATGGGTCTTTTATATATATCCCTTTTCACTCAGAGTTAGGAACTTGGCTTCGGGCAAGTGGACAGATGTCGGTGATTTGCTTCACTTTCTGCATGCTTCCCCTATGCATGTGTTTAAAATGCTAAAGATAGAAGGTGAAAAAAATCATACCCTAAAATAGGAACAAGAGGAAAAAATTGGTGCAAAACTATCCATCAGCATCTGGTCTATTGAATTTTTTTTTTTTAATCTGACCTTTAGTTTCAGAGAATGAGAGTGTGCATGTTTGTCTTTGTATCAGACTCTATCTTTCTGTCCTTTTTAACATTCCTTTCAAAAGGCTTTAGCCACTTGGCTGGCCCACTTCTCTTTTTCAGTTTCTCCTCTGGGCTTACTACCCCTGCCTTCAAGCTCTGGCTGCAGAGAAAGATAGGCTGTATGTGTCTGCTTTCAGTGCCTAATACGGAATCTTGCATAAAGTAGGCCCTCATGATTGATTTGTTGACTACAACTATTTGAAGCCTCCACTTGATTGCTATGCAATGGATGCATAGTAGTACCCGTTCATAGAATGTTGTCTTGTTTTTTAAGAATTTTTAATATCAACAAAAAATATTCCAAGAGGTAACCAAAAATGCCATACTTTGTAAATGAGGTTTAGGAAGTCTCTAATATTTCTCCATGAAAATTTCCCTGATTTATCCTAAATGTAAAAAGAGCTAGGTCTGACAACTTAAATGGCATCTCACTAATGATCTCCTTCCCACTTTCATTTATTATTACAGATAGAGTCTCATGATTCTCAACCTTGTATTGGCTCTATAATGGGCTATAGGCCCACTGAAGAGTTTTCATAAGTTATTTTTTATTATGGTAAATGTACATAACATAAAATTTACCATTTTAACTATTTTTAAGCGTACAGTTTATTGGCACTAATACTTCTGCATCGTTGTGCAACCATCACTACTATTCATGTCCAGAACTTTTCCATCATCCCAAACTGAAACTCTGCACCCATGAAATTCTAACTCCCCACTCCCCTCTCCTCCTAGCTCCTAGCAACCACTACTCTATACTCTGTCTCTATGTGTGACTATTTTAAGTACCTCATATAAGTAGAATCATATAATATTCATCCTTTTGTGTCTGGCTTATTTCACTTAGCATAATGTCCTCAGGTGTATCTGTGTTGTAGAATGTATCAGAAGTTCATTCCTTCTTTAAAGACTGAATAATATTTCATTGAATGTGTATATCACATATCATATTATTTATCCATTTACCTATCAGTGGACATTTGGGTTGTTTCCACCTAAGTTATTTTATTTAACCTTCACAGTTGCTAGCCCTGGCAGGCCTGAATGGGAAAACTGACTGTCACTTACATAGCAACTGACTCGGGCCAAGTTGAATTTTCTCTTTGCATATTAATTTCCCCACTTGTAAAATGGAAATGAAATTACCCACCTTCCTGGAGGGAAGATTTAATAAGATAACAAAACATCTAGTGTAGTGCCTGTCGTATAATTGGTATTAAGTAAAGGGTAGCTAGTAACATAATGACTCATGTTGATAGTAAAACAATTCAAAAGTCTGTTCCACACCTCTCAGAAGTCCAGACTAACGTATTCAATGCGTCCCCTGCATCCTCTGCTTTATGAAAAAGTCATCTCAGGTTGTATACATATGGCATATCCAAAAGGTATTTTTGGCTTCTAAAATATTCAAATCACCAAAGGAAAACAAGAATCATTTGTGAAACATGAATTTTTTTTATTCTACTCACAATCTATTCGCCAACATCAGAGAGGTCAAAATGTCACTGCAAAGAGTTCAGTTTTAAGGAGTATCAATGATTTGTCTCTTCAGGGGAAAAAAAAGTTTCATTTTGTTTTTCTGGCAAATAAATAAAATCATATCTTCAAGGAATATGGAATTAATAACTTATTACTAATAAAAAGCATCTTCAGACTCAACTAAGACTAATTCTCAGAGTGAGCATCTGGGAAAATATACAGCCAAACTATTCAGACAAATTTTTATGAACTTTTATAACAATCTAGTTTTAGATTGTCTCTGATATAAAATGTTAATTTAAGCCATAAAGAAGTTTTAAATATACTTTATAATAATAGCTAAAGTTTTATAATAAATATTTTTCTTATTTTAGAAATTTGAACATACAAACAAGTTAGAGAAAAGATTTATTTCTGGTCTCTTTTCCTGAACACAGTTTTTTTAGGGGTTAGGGGAGAGTAAACATAGTGAATGATTCTCTATATTCAATTTTATATCCTTTTTCACTAGACCTTATAATGTAATGCCTTACATAGGATTTTTTCCAAAGTGATGAGAAACTAAATTTACTAACACATTTTTAACAACTAATTAATCATTCTTTCTTAATCCTTTTCTGGGCAAATTACTTCAAGAGAGGAAATATACAAAGCAATTAAGAATGTGGATTTAAGCCAAATTTGTGGGTTCAAATCTCTGTCTCACCAGTTGCTAGCATTAACTTGAGTAAGTAATTTCTTCTGTCTCAGTTTCTTGAAGCATGGGAATATTAAGTGTACCCAACCTGAGAGGGTTGGTATAAGTATTAAATGTGTTAATCTGTAACACACATGAAATTATTAAGTGCATATTTGCTTTGCTAAATACTGAAATCTTAAAACAGGATAGATATAATAACTAAATTTAAAATTTGCAATATTATTTATAGATAACTTACTTATAATACCTTCTGTTTAAATTTTAACATCTATAAAGTTTTTCAGGTCGAGTAGTAAGACTTCTAATCACCAATTTTTTAATATATGGAGGACTAAGTTTGTGATTTTATTTTTCATTTGTCAAAGGGATATACATCTTCACTGAAAAATGTAATTTCTCAGATCTAATGAAAAGTGCTTAAAAATACAAGTGTAAATCAATAAAATATAAATTTCCATTTCCCAGTCCCACTAACCACTTGGTTATACCAGCCAGCTCAATATCCATATGTGGCTGGTGGCTCTAATATTGGACAGAGCTGATATAGAACATTTCCATCATTGCAGAAAGTTCTATTGGACAGAGCTGTACTATGGCTTTAGGCAGAAAGTGGCATGTTTGGATTATGCATCAATTCATGAGTAATGTGCTTTTGTCTCCATTTTACTTAAATAAATTATTCAATTTTTAGTAATTAGAAATTTGTTCTAATATAATACAAGCTTAATATCATTTCAGAACTGGATCAATCATCTACGGTAAGGATCAAATGCAAGAAAAGCATTATGTGAGTGTCGTACAAATGTTTTATTTCACATTTTTTTCTGCATTAAGTGAAAACCTACGCTCACCATACTTAATAAATGTTACCTTTTAAATACTTAATAGATTAAACTCTGCTTAAAACAAACCTTCTAATGAAAAACTACAATTTGCTCAGAAGTAGAAAGACTAATGTAATAAATCTCCCTGGATTCATCACCTATTTCAACAATTATCAATTAATGACCAATCTTTATCTATAACCTACCTTCTCTCACCCCCAGTCTCCACTGGATTATTTTGAAGCAAATATCAGACATTATTTCATTTTGTCTGTAAACATTTTAGTATGTATCTCTACAAGATAAGATCTCTTTTTGTTTGTTTGGGTTTTCTTTAAGTTTTATTTAGATATAATTGACATCCAGCACTGTGTAAATTTAAGGTGTACAGCATAATGCCTTGACTTACACATATTGTGAAATGATGACCACAGTAAGAATTCTTTTTTAAACAAAATCAAAATATCCATTGTTATAGCTAAAACAAACAAAAACCCCTAATAATAATTCTTAATATTATCAAATATAGATAAAAAACTGTTTAATATTAAAACACTCCCCCCCCCAAAAAAAACAGTTGCCTTTTTGGACTTTA